GTGGAGGACTACTTCATCGGTGCTGTGTTACCCCCCCATCTGTCGCCCTTCGTAGAGGAACAGGAAGATGACTACATACCGCCGGAGAGGCTGGCCCTCCTTAGCCGACAGGACGGTGGCGAGGACTCAGGTACTGAATCGGTGACCTGTGAAGTGATGGCCAAGTGTTTAACTGTCCGAACCTTAATACGGCAATCTCGAAATACAGGTCCTCTTGACCTTTTGTATTGAGAGTGATACAGAGGCAGCGTTGAATAAGATCTGATAAAATCCTATTAAAACAGAGCCGCTATACTCTGTATAGGAAAACAGTATTTGGTGCTTTGCAAGGCAGAAACTTCAAAATACACTGCCATACTGTGTTGATTGTTTTAATTGTATATATCTGTGTAGAGGTTTATCATAGGGGTTCAGATAACAGTTCCTGTAATGATTTTACTTTTTACCGAAGCCTTTCCTTATAACAATGTAATCCTTCTATTTTTCCTGCGTGTGCTGCATTTTGAGAATGCAGTTTATCGTCAGGAGTTATTAATATTTGTATTTAAAGGGGCAAATTTGGAAAAACCACATTTTCAATTGGGATTGGGTCCTTTAATTGGACCTAAAAAGTATCCTGATAAACCGCTGCTGTGTTCTATTTATCATACAATTACAAAGCCTTTAACCATGTATTATTTGTGTACATAAATTGGTGCTTTATAGAGTATAAAACCCAGGTGCTTTATCAAATATCGTGTGAAAATCATAATAATGATGGCAATAGCTAGTCAAACAGGCAGTTGGGGATGCAATCGTTGTAAGTTCAGTTTTCAATTATAAAAAGGGTGCTTTGATAAAATGTTTCAGGAATATATATCATCGTTATACACCAAGTAGAAGGTGCTATGTGATAGGTTCAGTGCTTTCAGTGTCCCCAGCAAGGCAACATAGTGACTTAACTCATTCACCCCTGAAGTTTCATAATGAACTATGCCAACCTTTGAATTGGAAGAGTTCAAATGTGTTTTAGGGGTGAATGAGTTAATTTAAAGTTACGGATCAGTACTTCTGTTGATGTTGTTGTGTCATCTTTTTATTGTATGATATATACTCTATTAAAGTTAATAAAGATTTTGAACACTGTTGAATTTAACTGCCAATCGACGGAGATTAAACAAGGGCCGACATTTCGTGTTTTACAATATGAAATGTACATACAGTACATGATTAATGTGTGGAAGATGAAATTCTGAAAATAAAGCATGGAATATCTTAATATAGGGACAGTGAAATGGTTTTGGTAATAGCATAATGAATTATTTTCTCGATCTTAAGAAACTAGTCGCTTTTGTATGATTGTTGAGATTTATATGTTGATAATGGAAATCTCTCTCACCAATACCTTAATTACCTTATCTTCAAAACTCAAAGGTTCCATCCTCGAGTTTGTCATGACAAAAGAAAAGTAGCCAACATGACATCGTCTGTATGGGGATGTAAAGTTTGGTACTTGTTTCCTGATTCAATATATTTAAAATCAGGAATAAGTATTGAAGTCAAAAAAGTTGGCTACTTATTCCAGTAATTATTATTAGTTAACTTCAGGAGATGATAATTGATTAAAACGTTTTGCCTTTTTGTAGGAGTAGGAGAGGAGGATGAACAGAATGATGATGAGGAGGAGGAGGAGGAGGAGGAGGAAGAAGGTATGTTGATTTTATGAACATAATACAGAATTAGATTGAACTATCACAGGTATATTAAACAATCATTCAAGCATATATAGTATATTCAGCAATATTTTTTACTTTGTTTAAAGAACAGGATTGAAATCATCTGTTGCTATCAAAATGCAAGATGAATTACAGGTGAGCGACAGGCCCATTGGGCCCCTTATTCACAAACATGACCCACACTTAAGGGTCAAGGTAATAATAGGAGGTAATTTGTTTTCTACATATATGTGCAGCAATACAGGGTTATCTCAAGGTCATGAAAGGTCACATTTATCGTTTTTGTGTCGCCTGCGAAAAGCTGGTGACACATAGGTATTGCTTTGTCGGCGGCAGCGTCCGAACAGAGGTTTTCGTGCGATAACTTGAGTTTCCTTATGCCGATCAAACTCAAACTTCATGCAGTGCTTCCTTACCAAAAGTGCTTGTTTGGGTTTGCTTTTCAGGTCCAAAGGTCAAAGGTCAAGGTCACTGTTACTATAAATAGAAAATCTGTTTTCGTGTGATAACTTGAGTTTCCTTGGGCCGATCAAACTCAAACTTCATACAGTGCTTCCTTACCAAAAGTGCTTGCTTGGGATTGCTTTTCAGGTCCGAAGGTCAAAGGTCAAGGTCACTGTTACTATAAATAGAAACTTCACTTAAACTGTATACTTGACGGCTTCGATCTACCACTTGACCCACCGTGTATACCTCTGAAATGCCGTCTTACTCCAAATGTTATTGACAACGCTAGCTGTTTAACAT